TCAACTCCCAGAATTCCCCAGCCAGCATGGGGAATTCTGGGAGTTGAAATCCACACATCTTCAAGTGGACAAGGTTGAGAAACACTGCTCTAACCCCTCAAAGGAATGGAGTTCTTAAACATAATTAGCCAATTGTGCAGGCACCAAAATATAAGCAGGATAAGTCCCTGTTGTTCATTAACTGATGCTACCGAGAGCTTTGCACATCTTTATGGCTCCTCAAGGGTAGATTTCCTCTGACGCAAAGTATCTATTTGACTCCCTTTTTAGAAATCAGTTCAGGGACCTCAGACCTTTCATGTCTGTGAAACAGTTGCCTGGGCCTGTGACAGGCATATCTGTAGGATTAGTTAAATCAATCAACCCCAGAAACCATACACAAGTTATTTAAGTCCAGAAACATTTTGCTATACTAGTAGCATCTTCAGAAGCACCCCAACACCCAGTTTTCCTCTAGTCTTTCTTCTAAAGTAGAGGCAGCAGATGTGTGGCTGCATCTGGCAACTTCTCAAAAATCATACAAGTGCCTAGCTTTTAATGATGTTCTCGAGCAGCAAGAAGTTAGAGGGAGACCCACATGGCACCCAGCCATTTTTCGTTGTTGCTTAAACTTGGTTTGTTGGACAATATGGCTGGGTTTATACTTTCATGCTAAGCCTAAACTGATTAATGTATATATTGGATTCAATTGCAGGTGAACTGAACCATGGTTTATTCAATTAATGTAATGTTCTGAGTATGCACAACATATAGACACGTAAGCTGATCACAAGAGCTGCATTTACCCAACATGCTAGACTGAAAGGTGATTGATTAATTTGTGGTTCAGTGTGTCATGAGAACACAGTCTTTAGTATGATCTGTGAATCCAGCGCTTGCAGGTTAAGATCTAAGATGGCACCATGCTCAGCTGTAGCAACATTGTCATTGTCACTTTACTGTGAGGGAAAACACTTGTTTAAAATAGCATGATGATGGTGGCACACCTAATATGGCCAGATATGAAGCCATATCAAATTTCATTGCCATTGTTTGTAAGCAAGACTCAGATATCGTTCCTCAGAGAGTAAGATCTAAAACTCACCTCCTCACCACAAAGGTGGGATATCTTATATAACACCATAATCCATGGAACCATATTCCCTTTCATAAAGAGGGGGCACATTCTTCTGTACCAAATCCCAAAGATTGTAATTTCTAGCAAAACTTGCTGAGAACCCCCAAGATTGTACAAAAAAGATTAATTTATGCTTAAAACACAATTACTGTATCTATTTTGACACCACAAGTCTCTTACTGAAGACAAAAAGTAAAACCCAATAGATCTATAATTCTGCTTTCCTAAGACTTAGGGGAAATTGTTCAATCTTTTCATTTTCAGCTGATTATTCATCAGAATTGCCCCTTACATAACCAATTTGTAAAAAGATATACTGTAGATATTCAAATCTTCTCTTTCTCTCTCCCAGGAAAAAAGAGCTGTAGGAATGGAATGTTCAACAAGGACTTCGTTGGCTTAAACGATAGTTGGTTCAACTGCAGTTTGTTCAGTCACAAGTGGCTGGGTTCATACAATATGTTCAGCTATGGACATAGTTACAAACTCAATAGGTAGGTATACATAATACAGTATGTCAAACCCAGGCAAATTTTGTTGTAGTTTAGTGCAATGTGTGAATCAAGCCAGAGCATTACGAAGAAAAGGGTTACTTTTTCTTCTCTAGCTTCTCTAGTCTCTTTTAGTATAAAATAATCAGAAATTGTTTTATCTGCTAAAAGAATTTGCTGTAGAAAAGAACTGCAGCACTATTTATATGCTGTTGTTCCACAGAATATTAAAACAGATGGTTAGAGAAGATCAATACAATTGTCGCTATAAAATAATCACCTCAAAATGCTGATAAGACCCATAAAGGATGTTTTAGATATGAAGACGTTTCAAAGCACTATACTTGGATAAATGATAATAGAGCAGTCACTTACAAGTATTAAAAAACAAGCTCACAGCCTGATCCCAATTTTACTCTTTTCTTTCTATAATTGTAGATACCTTGGGAGCAATCCTAATATTCCTCTGTAGAGAAAGGCTTCTGAGATTCCCAACATGTTTACATGGCAATGCCAGATAATTTGAAATGCAAAAAGCGGGGAGAAGGATGGACCTCAAATATATTCAATATAATAGGTTTGTACTATTTGGTAGTCTGTGATATTTATTTGGGTGGACGTGTGTATATCAAAACACTAGAAAATTAACAATAGACTATACTGTACTTTACTGGCACCTTCTCAATCTATGTTTTCATCTTTCTTAGTGGTTGCTTTGCCAAACTGTTTATTAACAGACACAAAGGGAAAAAGTGACTGAGAGGTTGGCCTATTTGTTTAACTCATTCTATTCTCTGTTTCTTCCTCCATCTAACATTGACAGTGTATGATGTACTGACAATCTACTCCAGCCTGACCCGAGGATTCTGGGTAAAATCATTCACCTTGATCAAGCCGTCTGGCCCGATGCTGTATAGAAAACATGGGGAAAAAATGGCTTAGTGGTGCTCTTGCTTATAAAACAAACACTCTAAATGTTTCAGATATAAAGTTGTAGCAACATCCTTGTTCTTTCTGTACTGTTTTGATACCAGATATTTTTTTTAAAAATCAGGAACTATAATGAAGGCAACTTTAGCAGTGATCAGTCCTGGGCAACCGCTAGTACTTCTCTTCCCCTATTTTATTTATATATCAAATTTGTCATCGCCCATCTCGTTAAAAAATGACTTTGGGTGGTTTACAGAGAAGCTAACATCAGTTAAAAGTGCAATATAAAATGATTCTGAATAAATGTTATAATTATAACCATATAAACTTCATGATATTGAGATGGAAGCATCTCCTTTCTATTCCTCTCTCTCTTGTAACTCTCTTCCTGATTAAGAGATCCTGAAAGCCTGCCCATATTTTCCGTGCTATGGATTTTGTCTATTTTCGTAGGAACTAGCACGGTTAGTGTCAGAACACTGATTTTATAACCATGTTAAGCATAGGCCATCTAAGAATGTTTGACTCTGGCTATAGGCAAGCAGTAGCAGATATCTCTCTGTCATCTTCTAAACCGAGGCCTGTTTTGATACGTCATTGTCCTATACAGAGCCAGATAAAAAAGTTTCAATTTAAAAATAGTTTTAGAAAGTGTAATTATAGAATTCTTGCTCGCAGTGCAAATGACTGCTCTTTCTAATGCTTGCTTGCAGAATGGGACTTTTCCTCTGTGCCCCTTTTATTTTCCCTCTCCTTCCGTGCCCTAGCCCATTTTGGGGAAGTCCTCCAACCCTCTGGAGCAAATTTAAAAGTCAGAGGCGAAGTTAATCGGACTGGCACTGGTTGTTCAACTAGGTGACAAGCAAAGCTAAATACAACCACTGAATACAAATGCATTAAATGAGGGGTAAAAGAGGAGCACAGAGTTCCCCAAGTTATTGGAATAACATTCAAAAGATGTATGTGCGCGTCAGTTAGAAATAGCAGTCTATATAATTATTTCCTATTTAAGCAAATGGAATAGGATATCACATACTTAATAATAACCCACACTCAACATGGACAGTTACTTTAAGTTCCTAAACCTCAGCAGAGAGCCAGTTTGGTGTAGTGGTTAAGGCAACAGGCTAGAACAGTGTTTCTCAACCTTGGCAACTTTAAGATGCATGGACTTCAATTCCCAGAATTCTGGGAGTTGAAGTCCACGCATCTTAAAGCTGCCAAGGTTGAGAAACACTGGGCTAGAAACATGGGAGACCATGAGTTCTAGTCCTGCTTTAGGCACGAAGCCAGCTGGGTGACCATGGGCCAGTCACTCTCTCTCAGCCCTTAGGAAGGAGGCAATGGCAAACCACTTCTGAAAACGTTGCTGAGAAAACTGCAGGGACTAGGCCAGACATTCACCAGGAGTCAACACTGACTCAAAGGAACACCCCCACCCTGCAAAAACCCCAACCTCAGCACACAATTTTTAAGAAATAGTACTGAGTTTTTAGACGGATGGTAAATCAGACTCAGATTTATCCAGCTGTGTAAAATTAGTGAATCTGCTTAATATTAGTCAGCTAGATATGTGAAGTTTATATGTACAATCCTGTAAATGAATTTGTCATCTAACTCAGCTATATATACTTCCCTGCAACTTATTCCATCTACTGCACGCTTACATCAGTTGGCTGCTATTGCTTAAAATAGCCACATCTCTTGACATTTACTGCTAGATATGTGAAGTTTATATGTACAATCCTGTAAATGAATTTGTCATCTAACTCAGCTATATATACTTCCCTGCAACTTATTCCATCTACTGCACGCTTACATCAGTTGGCTGCTATTGCTTAAAATAGCCACATCTCTTGACATTTACTTTATATATCAGAGTTACTTACATCTCCTGTTCAATATAATTCAGCATTCGGCTGACATGAGAAGCAGAGATTTCTCCATCCACTTCAGCAATGTAAGTGTAGAGAAACTGGAAAGTACTGAAAGGAATACGAGCTGGACCAGTGTCATTCTCATTAGATAAAACTTCACATATTATCTTCAGAGTTTTTGCAATAGTCTGTTTTCAAAAAGAGAAAGGATATGACATTTAGTATTAGTAACTGAGCAAGTAGTTGTCACATATGTGACTCAATTTTTTTAAACCTGGGAATTAAAAGTTCTGTGATAGGATAGGAAGGGCCAGAATGGAGTCTATGATACAAAGATCTTGGGCATTAGATACTTCCTTGGTGCTTTTCATTTGTTTGTTTTCTGTTTGGCCACACCCACCACAGTGAAATGGTGGGTGTGGCCACCGCCTGCCTGCACGCCTCCCCCCGCACCCCCCAAGGCAGCCACCACAGGATTCAAACATACTAGCGAAAAGAGTTAGGGATTCTGTAGTGATTATCTAGCACACAGGATTATTGTGAGCATAAAGAACAGTGTTGTGTAAACATACCACCCATAAAGGTGAGAAGAGATTTTTTTACACACACACACACAGTTGAACTTTACACACATACACACACAACAGTGACCACAATGCAGAGTTATTGTGAAAATGATTTTCAAATGATTTTTTAACTGTTAGATTGTAGTCAATAATAAAATTATGTATTATTTCAGACTTTACACACAGTAAAAGTGAGAAGAGATTTTTTTACACACACACACACAGTTGAACTTTACACACATACACATACAACAGTGACCACAATGTTACTGTGAAAATGATTTTCAATGATTTTTTTAACTGTTAGATTGTAGTCAATAATAAAATTATGTATTATTTCAGACTTTACACATAGTATCTATTTTTAGAAAAATCTTGTATTCAACATACATTATTTCTGTTCATTTTGATATTTGGAGATGTTTAGGGACAGAATAGGAGAGGGAATGTATACAAAATTCTGTGAACAATATGAAAAGCATATAGAGCAAATTCTGCCATATGTTCTAATTACAATGAGAAACGTGTTTGCATGAAGCAAAATCAAGATATTTCAGCTCCAGTTCCTCTTGTTTTTGCTCACCTGAAGTCAAAATCTTCTGAGAAACCACAAGCATCTCCATAGCAGCTAACCATAATGTTACAAATATAAGATTGTGACTTCAGCTGAGGAAAAAATCTGCAGCAAGAAATTCTCAAACACAAGATGTCAACATAACAACAAAAATTATAAACAGTCTGCATGGCAGCAAAAAGAAAAAGTGGGTGACAGTATATACATATAT